GAGGATCGAGAATTTGAATTCATGACTTCTCATGAACTTGACATACCTTAAATAGAATTTTATGTATCTAAATTACCATTGAAATTTAATTTTTATAAATGCCGACTTAAATGATGCAATGATAAAACTCTTTCAAGAACGTTACCTTTCTCTCTCTCCTTGTACTGGAAATGTGAAAGGATAGTATTTCTAGTGATAATTCAAACTTTTTTTTTTTTTTTGAACATGCCAAACTATTTTTATTTTGGTGCAAGAGAATTCATACTATTTAATTCCTCTCTCAAAATCAAAACCTTTGTATTGGATGCTCGACCCATCAAATATTGGTAATCCTACAAACTACATGAAGGGATAAATATATATTTGAGATTAGTGATAAATATTTCCTTACATATATACACGCACAAAATTTTTCTTTTTTATATTTTACAATAAAAATATCCTTTTAGCATATAGTAATTCAAACGTAAAGTTCTTTATATATTATTAAATAAGGTTTATTAAAGATGTTTTGATATTTTTTTAATTTGAAATGTAATTTTTTATACCTGTTAGTACTAAAATAAATTATTGATCTATAAATTTTTTGATTTATATATAAATAATATAATTATAATGTTAAGTGAAATTGAAAGTTTAAAATATAATATATCATTATATAATAAATATTTTTATTTAAAATTTTTTTATATATCTATTAATTTAAGAATACGATAAATTATTTAATAATATATTATAATTATAATTTATAAACTTACACTAAAAAATAATATAATAATTATAATATATATATATATATTTTTTACATATACTGTTCTTTTTGTGAAGTTCATCTGATTTTCCTTTATTAAATACAGCATGGATCTACTGTTACGGCACCCTTATCTCTTCGTTTTTTTCATACAATTATTTTGCATTTTAAGGGATTTGCGTTTCCGACGGGAAGTCAAGAGGACACGTTTGGCTTAATTAACCTTTTCAACCACTTCTTTTATTATATTTTATTATGTGCCTATTGTTCTTCCTTCTATTAATAGTTAATTTAATGTGATTAATATCTTGCATTAATTATCTCAAACTATTTTTGGTATATTATTGATATGGTCACTAGCAACAAAGTGTCAATTTTGATATCCAAAGATTGCTCAAATACCCAAAATACCCTCTCCAATCTTTGTATATATAGCAAATTGTGGGGATGGTGTTTATGTCTTTTTATTGTGGATAAGAGTTTTCAATTTTAGGATTGGTTTTTTTTTTTTCCCTCACGGTTATCACCACCATACAAAAATATGGAAATTTTTCAAAAAAGAGGAAGTTTTTTTTTTTTTTTTTTTTTTCATTCCAAGCCACCCA